GATATCCATTTTTCCTGTTGATAACAAATCAAGTATTCAATTTGATGTTATGCTAAGGCAATGAAAACAAACCCGTAACAACATATTTTTAAAGAACAAATGTACAGCAAAATGAAAACAAAATTTGGTATCAAATTTGTCAATGTGTAAACTGAAATCAAATTATGATTTCATTTTGATGCTGATATCAAAACTTGATTTCAATTTGCTGTCATTTTGATGCTGGACTTTGCTCGGGATGCAGGTCAATCCCCGACCAAAATAACAGCAAATTGAAATCAAGTTTTGATATCAACATCAAACTGAAATCATAATTTAATTTCAGTTTACGCAATTGACGAATTTGATAAATAAATCTTTGCAAATCTTTGGATTTGATGAAAAAAATAATATAAAAAGCAGCACCGGGATTGGAACAATGTTCACGATTCCATGGCTAAAAAAAAGTAATTTTAGGATTTAAAAAAAAATACCGGTTATCAGTAAACAGTAGTCGAGGGCTTTGAAATTATATTAGGAATTCATTCCGTAAAGCTCAGTCTACTTAGTAAACCACTACCCATGTAAATTGAATGTGCGAATGTATGTGCGAATGTCGAATGTAGCGAAGCTTGAAAAGCTTGGAATTCATGGAATTCTTTTGGATTGGTTCTAGTCCTACTTGAACGGTCGTCAGCTTCATTTCCAATCACGTCAGGGATTCCGCAGGGAAGTCATATTGGACCACTCATCTTCCTTTTATACTTCAACGATGTCAATGCAGTGCTGGATGGACCAAGGCTTTCGTTTGCTGATGACTTCAAGCTATATTTCAAGATTCGTTCTGAGGCTGACGCTCAGTTTCTACAACAACAACTTGATGCATTCGCTCATTGGTGCCAAATGAATCGTATGACCGTAAATTCTGCAAAATGCTCAGTTATTACGTTTTCTCGACTGAAAGATCCAAAACTCCACGGTTATTCATTTTCTGGAGTACCACTGGTAAGAGTGAACGAAATCAAGGACTTGGAAATTATCCTCGACTTCCAGTTGACTTTCAAGCAGCTCGTGTCGTTCATAGTGAATAAAGCTTCAAAATCTCTAGGCTTTATCTTCCGGTTAACAAAAGAGTTCACGGACATTTACTGTCTAAAGGCGCTCTACGGTCGACATTGGAGTACTGTTCGACTGTTTGGAGCCCTCACTACCAAAATGGAATTGAGAGAATAGAATCAGTGCAACGGCTGCGACTCGCACTTCGTCGACTACCATGGCGGGATCCATGTCATCTCCCAAACTACGAGCACCGATGTCAGCTAATTCGTCTGGATACACTTAGAACACGAAGAGACGTTGCTAAGGCTATGCTGGTTTCTGATGTCTTGCTGGGTCGAGTTGATTGTCCTGAAATCCTACAACGAGTCAACTTGAATGTGCGACCAATATCACTTTATATCTCTTTATATTCATTTAGTTCATTGGCAAAAACTTATCCATCATTGGGGCCAAGAAGCCTGTTGATGAAGAAATAAATAAATAAATAAATAAGTCAGAATTCCCTTCAAATTTGTCCCACAAATATTCAGTTATGTTCTCCTCCACAATTATATACAATACTCTAAGAATTTACTTGACTCTTTAGAATTACCTTGGAGCACTCTTCTGTAATTTTCTAAAAAATCTTTTCAGAACTGCACTTGCTCTTTAAAATGTCCGTAAAATTTTCCTCAGGTGCTCCTAAGTATTGTTCCGAATTCCTTATGAATATTCCTCAGCACTCCCTTGGACATGATCTTGTCAATTTGTCGAAATTTTCCTCTTATTATTTCCTTAAAATTTTCCTCAGAAAATAAATTTATTCTCAGAACTCTCTTTGTATTCATTATTACCACTATAAATACCAGAGATTTTTGAATTGTTATTCAGAACTACTTTAAAATGTCCAATGTCTATAACGGTCATATAGGGTATCCTTAGAATTCTTCTCGGGATTCCTTAAAAAATCTGCTCATTTCTACTTTGAACTAAGCTTTGAGATATCCTTAGAATTTTGCCTATTATGTTATTCCATTTTACAAGCGAATTGTTGTCAACTGTTTATTCTTACACCCAACCGGAGGATGTGTGATTTGCTTACAATTATAAGGAATTCATCATCGCAGGATGTTAGAGGAGACCACATGGATGGAGGATGAAATATACTGAGCTGCGCTCCAATGCAAGAAAATTGGATACCCAAAAATGTGGAGTGTATTAGTGAGCGAAATGAATTATGTGGAAAAATAGAAAAAAGATTGCTGACTGGACTCCAGCTACGAACGTCACGATTAACAGACCTGTCCTTTCTCCACTGCTCTCTTCATGCTTCGGACCATGGAGAGGCTAAAAGAGGATGAGAAGCGCTCATAGAACGATAATTTGATTTCGCATGCTTTTTCCGCTGAATGGAAATTGGAGAGAATCGTGGCAAGTGTGTGCGTCGTTCTACAATGTTATAATTAAAAAGATTGCTGATATAGAAGAAAGCGCAGACAGAACACGAAATTAAAAAGATTTAAAAAAATTATTGAATTATAGGAAATGCAACTAATATTCATTGTAATATTTTTTGGTTTGGATGTATTTATTATAATTTGCTACTGTCACTACTTCCACAGAAGGGGACGGTCCCTTTTTTTACTATCTGTCAATAAAATTTTATGTAATTATGCTCACAGGTATTTTCTTAGTTTATTCGAAAAATTCAGGGTGGTAAATTTTCCCTGAAAATTTGCTGTAGAAGTTTTTGGATTTTCCCGCGCATCACGTACTTTTAAAACTCATAACTCATCGTAAACAAATAAATCTGTAGTAAAATTTTAAGGAAATTCCCTAAGCAAACCATAAAAAATATAATCTGAAATTTTATTTTCTCCGAGTATTTTTAGATTATGAGGAAAATTTCAATTAAAAACGGCAAGAGAAAAGACATTGAAAAAGATCATTATTCGGAAAATTGTTTTCCCTGTTATTGTTTACAATTTTCCTCCATCGTGAAAATTGTCATGGAAAAAAAATTCAATTTTTTTTTATGGATTGCCTAGATAATTTCCTGATCATTCCACTGAAAAAGAATTTTTCTATAATACTTAATTCATGAGTTATGGAATTTGAAAATACTATATGCAAATTTCGGAACAATCAGAGAAGTCAAACCAAAATTTTCCGGGCTGTTAGTTTTTTTTAATTTTTTTTATTCAACTCAAAACTGGTGAGAAGCAACTCTCTAAAATTTTCACCAGCAAAATATAACAAGTTTTAAAGCATAAACAATCATTGAAAAAATTTCCTTACCCTGGCACCGAAATAATTTTCAAGGAAACATTTTTCATCTGGAGATAAAGCCAGAACAGAACAGAACAAAACAGGTGAGACCGTGTCATAAGACAAGAAACGAGCCAAACCTATCATATCAAATGTCCACATCACAGGAAGGGCCCAGAATCTAACTTTAGCCAAAAGCCATCATGCGACACATCAAACCACATGATAATTCAATAACATAATCATTGGCATTTATGTTGAGTTCTCAGGATCACACTGGCCATACCTGGTCATAAGTGCTCCTGGTGAAGTGAACTGAATCTGACATCTTATCCTAAACTTACCATTAGAGTGAGTCAACATAACAACCACCTGCTCCCCACTGTTGTTTCGTTCTGCAAATGTATTGTATCACACCTGGATGTGTTTAAGGTGTCCCCGTGAAGTTGGGCAGAATCTGGGGTGGGCAAATCTCATAAATCGAAGTATCGTAAGATATTTGTTAGGAAAGTCTGATCGCACCATCGGTAAAAAAAAATCAGGTTTTTCAATGTGTTTAACACTCTCCGGTAAAATGTGTAATGGAAAACTTGCAATGTTGAAAATTTATAGCTCAGCGATTTATTGACGAATTTCTGATCTATTGACGACATTTAAAACTACATACTTTAAAGATTTATTTTATATCAAGAATTTAAAAGTCTGTCGATGAATTGCTGAGCAATGGTTTTTCAAACCTTGCCAATTTGCCGTTACATATTTTACCGGAGGCGACTTGTTTGGAGTGTTAATCTCAGAAACAGGCACTTAAAATATGCCGCAGATTGAATCAACAATTCAGTGTAAAGAATTGTGCTGCTTCTAAAAAAAACTTCACTAAATTGGCAGCAGAATAACAAGAGATCCCTAAACGACAGTGAAGACAAATTTGCTCAACTTCCGGAAAGATGTCGAGCTTTTTGAGGCGAAGCCATTGGCATAGATTCCCTTGAGAAATCAAACATTCGTTGTGATTATTCACTCCTATTTATTTGACATCCAGCACAGAGGACTTCAATGAACAATATTGACGGTAGCGCAAATTTAATTGCATTTTCCCATCCATAAGGTGAAATTAGTCACATTGCCAGAAAGGCTGTACGACAAAATCGAACTGTCCTCTCTTAGCAGATGTCTGTTTATTTATTAAACCAAAATAAATTACATTTCTAAACGAGCAAAGTTTTGATTGGGTTCGAGCGAAAGAGTATCCCATCTTTCTTGAAGGTGCGATTAATTCTGAAGATCGACGGAAATTTTGATTGATCTTCAAAGATGTGCTGCCCAGAAAGCGAGTGGAATCAATCATTAAAGTAGGATAGAAATTCAGCGACTCATAATTTCCGATTGGCTTGAAAGAGCACGCAACGCTGAAGCGTGAAAATAGCATTAGGGGAAGTGCACAGCGCTGAATGCGTTTTTCTTTGGGCAATGTGTTTGTACGAACGAACAGACGCGCGCATATGGCCAAAGTTTTGTGATGACAAACGGTAAGTACCTACAAAACAGTAAGGTAGGAAAAATCTGCTAGGTATCATTAAGAAGACAAGACACTCCGTCCTGTATTCTGTCTTCTTAATGATAGAGGAAAGAGGAAAATCGGATCTCATGACACCAGGTGCAGTGAAACAATTTTGCGAGTTTTGACGGTTAGTGATATAGATAAAACGACGTACCTTGAAAGCTTGACGAAATTTGTTACTCATGATGTTGTATAGAAGCGGATTGATACAGGTGGATAGGTAGTACAGTATGCCGGAGATGTAAGTGGTTATCACGAATAACTTCAACACCAGTGGATCGGTGGGTTGGTGATCCTTGTCGACACCATAAATGTAGACCAATCGTTGTGCGTGGAACGGAGCCCAGCAGATGAAGAATGCAACTACTACTGCAACTGCAAGGATGTGGAAAATTGAAACAACGCAGAGGAAAATATTTACTCATTAAATTTATCAGACAACCCAAAACCATCACTGTGCGAAATAACTTTAAGGATAATGATAAAGCAGGATATTTTGAGAACCAAGTTTATTTTTGTAAATCAAGTCTCTTAGTAAATAAAACATAAATACATGCATATCTAGCTGATCATCTGCGCAAAAAAAAATCCACTTGGCTGGATATCTACACGAAACGAAAACTAATTATTTTATTCATATGTTTCTCTTATACATTTTTGCCAAAACATCAGCCGTATACATTCCATAAGACAAACCGCATAGATCCTATAAGAATGCATAAACGATGATTTTCATTATCTTCATGATCTTCATTAACTTGTCTGCTTATTAGTTGACTTATACATTTCGTGAATAACCAGCAATAGAAATTTGTCAAAAGGTATAAGGGATAGCAGGATTGAGCTTTGTCCTTATAATTATTTCGCTCAGTGTAGGTCTACACCCCTTTTTGGCGTGCAAGCATTCTCTGGATTAATTACATACCCAACATCTTCAGAACCCTTCTCGTGCCTTGACTATTTCCTTGCTGTCGGTTATTGGGACATGCGTTGTTCCGCCTCTGTAGAGTTCCGTCCCGTTTCATTAAGGTGGAAGAACGGAGCTTTAGGCCAATCAAGGCATATAGGACCGTTATCAGTGTCATCGGTGCGAAGAAGAACAAAAACGTCGATAACTCGAAGGAATGCTGAATGATTATTCGCTTCACTACGCACTGATCCATTCCTGACTGATTAGTTACCCCGAATTGTAGTGCCTGTGGGACGGCGGAAGCAATCGCCACCAGCCAGATGGCAAATATAAATCGAATTGCTCGCGATAGTTTCGACATTGTATGTGAAAGGAAAGGATGGCATATAGCCACGTATCGCTCAATTGTGAAGGCGGTGATTGTTAAGACAGTGGCATTCGCTGACGTTTCCGCTGCTATTCCGCGTACTACGCAAAAGATTTCTCCAAATATGTAAGGATATTTGCTCCAGATAAAATAAATTTCCTGTGGCACGCCGGAAATTAGTAATAGGAAATCGGATATCGCCAGGCTAAACAAGTAGTAGTTGGTCGCCGTATGCATGGATTTGTTTTTTGATATCACGATGCATGTGCTGATGTTGCCAATGACTCCGGTAATAAAAATCAAAACATAAATGATCGTCATTGGTATTACAACGTACAGTGGATCCCGTTTAGGACCGTAAAAGTATGACGAATTATCGATAGACCATTCCGTGCCACTGTAATTCAGCGATGTACCCAAATAATCTAAAAAGGTACTGCTATTAATTATCACAGACGTAAAAGTTTCATTTACTCGTTGCATTTCCGCGAACTTCATTGCATTTGTTGTGTTTGTACTGAACATTTTGGAAACAGTTATAATAGCATTGAAATTATCACCCGATCACTCGACAGGATTGCTGCTTTCCCGTACTGAACAGCACATCATCACAATAAAGTTACGATTAAGGATTGAATATCCATTTGCTTTTCTTTTTGTACATTGCACCCTCGATGTCCATTTACAGTTACTGTAACGAAAAATAAAAACAAGAGAATTTATTAGGTATTTTTGATGTATGACAAATGTTATCCATTCGTTGCTCACGATGCCTTTGCAAGTAAATTGAATTCAAATGTGACTGTTTTTTTTATTAATTTTTGAAACCTGCGAATGCGACGCATTATTAAAAATTCCTTCAGTTGTTTGTTCCGTTGATCTACTTTCAGACTGGAACCTGAATTTCCATTTTAAAATTCCACCCGGCTGTTCTTAAAATGTAATATATATCCTGAAATTGTAGAATGATGAGCAGTACAGCTGTTCATTGGTAAATCAGCCCTTGGCTGACAACCTTACACATAAAACGATAGTAAAAACAACCGTTCATTAGGTGCTCTGATACAGAATCACACTTCTATATAGCACGCCTACTACAGCTCAGCCATCCCGACCATTATCCCGACAGCCATTATCAAGGGTCAATCAACTCTGCACACTGTGCCGAAACACAGCATGGACACATTAAGGCACACTTTGATAAGTAGGACACAAAAAATATAATATAAAACGGCATCACTGTTGTGTGTTGACGTTTTGCCAATCATTGCTAAGGTTTACTACTCGGCTCAATACTTTTTTTTTACTCACAAATGAATCTAGTGAGAGAGTGTCATACATAAAACCTAGGATAGACCAAACGTGCACCCACCGGTGTTGAGGATCTTTCAAAAAATTCTGTAAGTATTGTCTGAATCGTGAATCTCTTCAAACCTAGCAAAACTAAGTTCGTCTCTTCCGAATCACAGCACAAATCTCAGTGGATCGTGTTTTTATCTAGAGCAGCTTCTATTCGGGCCACACTTCAGTCGAGTTCATCTACACCATGACCGGTTCATGTCGGTACGGCAGTCAAGACAGCTGAAATGGGTTACCTCTAGAGATGATTAGTTTTCGATGATGGAATAATTCTATACAGAGTTGGAAAAAGGGCCTATCTGCTTTGATATCGACTCTTCATCGACTTTCTCTTTTGATAACCACGACTACAGCTTTCGTGCTATGTTTACCACATAGCATGATAAAAGAGGTTTTTATCTATCGTCCACATCGTCAAATACAACAGGGAATGTTGTTGCAGCTGAATTATTAATGAAAGAGAAAGTCGATGAAGAGAATCGATCAAAGCAGATAGGCCCTTTTTACAACTCGGTCGGACGGTTGCCTTTGGTGATAAATTCGGAAGGTTAAACCAACAATTTCATCAATTATAAGAAAATGGATCCCAACTATACGACGGGGATGTGGAACACCTACACTATGCTGTTATTCGTACGAAAATAAATACGAACTAACTATGAGCATCGAGTTTGATGAATCCTCACATTAAGCATTGGAAAAGTTCACCAAAACTCAATACGACGCACGATTTATTTGCTGAACTTCGTGAAATATCGAAAAGTTTCCCAACTCTGCTCACATACTCGCCCACATGTTTTACGCAAAGGTCACCCATTGGAGGCGTTATTCAGAATACATTTCTTATTTTTGAACTTAGCATTTTATATGAAGCGTACAACGAAGAGAGCGGGTGTACATTAACAATGTTATTATGCAGAATGGACAATAAAAAAGAAAACAAGCTTATCATAGGGGATGGCCAGATTTGAATCCCGGTCTTGCCGAGTACCTTCAGGACAGAAATTTTCACACTTTCTCCTGCGTTTTTCCTCGAATATTCTTGTTAGTCATTAGTCTCAATTGGCATGGACTTCGATGGCATAACCACAGGACTTTATAGGGAAGACCATAGAATGCTATAAGCTCTTGAATCAAGAATCACCCACGTTTGTCATATGTGTGGAGCTGAGTGGATTGGTCGGAATTTGCTCGAGTTCTATAAAGACCTACAGGTGGATAAAGCGCTTTCGCTGAAGTTTGCTATGGCCGAGAATCCTATTTTCGAAGCATGAAAGATGTTCGGGGGAGATGTTAGATAGTTTTCATCGGTGGTACATAGCGAAAGGTACCTCAACTGCATCAGATCGTAGTTTGGTAGGCTTGATGGTGTGCAGCGAATCCAAACACATATAGCAACCAACGATACAAACAAAACGGTTGCTACGACTACCATGACAAACTCGCTCTGTACCACAGCTCGATTGGAGTGGTAGAAGGATAATGATATATTGCTTGCCTGCTTTTTTGAAATATACACGGAAGAGGACATAGCTGGATCTGAATCGAGAAAAGACATAACAAAACAGATTCCCATTAACACACGTGTTTCATCTTCGGTTTTACTTCGTGAAGCAGCTTGCCAACAATTTGCTCGTTTCCTTCTACCACCCTGAGTAAGCTGTGTCGCACGGGCTGCTTGTCATGAAAAAAAGGAAGAAGGTTAAATCATTATTGCTTTCCACTTCTGACATTGCGTTATCATTTGGTTTGTTGATCGCTTGTCATTTTGTCATTTGGATATATTTTTAATTCCTTGGTGGTGTGTAATTAGGAGGTAGTAGAAGGTATCATAATCAGCAATACGATAGGCTTGGGTTATATCTTTGAGGACACGCACTTCTGAGTCGATCAGATGATTTAAAACTGGTTTGACTATATTGCTGCTAGCGTGGGATTGCACTATCGTCCGTTCCAGTTCTGGGTTTATTTTAGTCGGGGAGGAATTTCATTCATCATCTTTGTTTCTCTACACCTGCAAGGAATCAACAATTTAAAAAGACATCGAGCCAGAATTTTGTGGAATTTGCTTGAACACCATATTGGTTTGATGGTTTCCAATTCCTCTTCCACGACCCGCGAACGCTCTAATGAGAATGAAACTGAATGCTTACCATCCATCCATCAGAGAAATTGAGAATGTAAACACAATCTCAAAAGTCATAACTTTGAGGGTTGCCAAACTCATGAAATATTGACGCCTTGATAGGCATACATTGATTGATCTTGACAGGCTCGTTCGGCACAGCTTTCGGTACAACTCAATTACTCGGCACGAATTAATGTGTGCAGAGTTGAATACCCCTAGGTTTTTATACACTATCAGAAAGAGCTCCTTTTTCTGAGCAGAACGATTTTCATCTCGATTTTTAATTATAGATTGAAAGTAAAATAATAACTTCACTGTGTCAAGCAAACTAACAATTTGACAGCTCGTTCTCACAAAAAGTTCCATAGTGAGGCTATGGTGGTGATTTTTACTAATGTAATTTCTATATTAAAAATAGATCCAGTACATCAAAGTGCAAATGCAGAATACGAATATGTTTTTACCTCAATACCCTTAAAGAACCCAATTCACAATAAGATAACAATAAATTTTCACCAAACTTCTGCTCTGCTCTACTCTTTTAAGGAATCCAAGCATTCTCCTACTCTTGAGACATGGTTACAACCAATCGTTCAAGGTTTCAGGAAGTTTCCAAATAGTTCCGACGAGACCTTGTTCACTTTAATGATTCCTGCTTTCTTCATCGGCATAATCCTTAGGTGTCAACCAATAATTACGTAAGCACCTTTCAGGGATTTTCCAATCCCCTTCCCCCTTTGTAAGATCAACATCGAATATTTGAATGGTGTGTATATGACTTGTTCATGCTTACGTAAGATATTTCCAACTCTATCTACGATGCAGGAAAAAATGTATTTTGCTGTGCTTAGCTGCGTGCACGCTGAGTAGTTAAAAAGAATATTGATGACGATTCTGAAGATTTATTGCAAAAAGATGATGCGCGATGCAAGTAAATACGAGAAAAGTAAGAAGATTTTCCGAACATTGATTCGCTAGTGTGAGATTAGTTTAGCATCTAGAATTGCGATTAAGATATGTCGCCCCCCCCCCTCGCTCCTACGTAAGAAAATCTTTAGCACCCCCTCCTTGCTTTCGTAATTATTTAATGCTCCCCTACTCTCGTGGCACGGCTCCACCCGTCCTTTGGACAAGGTTGCAAAGACTCATTTCAGCTAAAATAATGTTTTTCGGAATAATAAAACCAAAAGATGGTATGATGGCATGTTTTACTTGTAACTTACAAGAAGAGGTTACAAAGTATGCGTTGGAAACATAACACCTGTAAATTTAGCTTTCTATGAGTCACAATCAGCGATTTGCTGATCGCTGAGTGAGTGAGTGAGTTTGTGAAAAATCGCTGATTGTGACTCTCATGAAGTGAAATAAACAGGTTTAATATGTCAAACACATTCTTTGCAACCTCTTCTTGTATCCTACCAATTCAAAATTTGATCATGGCATCTAATTATTTCATAATTTAGAAAAACATTGTTTTAGCTGAAATGAGTCTTTGCAACCTTGCCTTTGGATTCAAGAATGTGTCTTCCGACCGGTCTTCCGTCTTCCGTCTCTAGACAGAGTCATTCAACTTCAAAGAATTTTTCAGATTCTTCTATGGTAATCCAACTGCTTGTTTCCTATCACGGCACCAACCCGTTTGCTTGACGTTACAGAAAGTTTTAAACTTCCGACAGGAACCTATGCAAACGACAGTTTGCAGCAATAAAACGTGAGTTCACTTCTGAAGTGGTATCACTAGTAAATTTGTAAAAGGATTTGCAGTACAACTGTTTGTTATGTCGTTTTAGTTTTTGCGGTGTAGTGCCAAAAGTGTAGCTGCGCTAACAAGCGCGAGAAATTGATAGCTGACCATCATTTGTTTGTAAACAATGGTGCTCCCTATATCTTCTTCTTCTTATTCACATTTCAAGCTTATTCCTTAGTGCATATTAGCTCATTGCGTGCTCTAAACTTAGTGTTCTAAATATGCACTTCCACAGTTATTAATTGATAGCTTTCGATGCCAATACCAATGCATGAATTTGTATATTGTGTGGCAAGCACAATGAAACTCTATGCCCAGGGAAGTCGAGTAAATTTTCATCTCGAAAGATTCCCTCGACCGGATCGGGAATCGAACCCGCCGCCTCCGACTTGGTAGTACCGTGCCTATACTTACTAGGTTATGATGACCATTATATACAGCTTTAATAATTTCGGTT